TTGTTCACAGTTGTGGTCCTTACTATTTATAACATTGCCTGGCACATAGTAAATGCTCAATAAATATCTCACAAATGAATGACTCCAAGCAATTGCCAAGTCCTATGACTTCGCCTTCTACCTATCACCTTCTGTCATCTTCTGTGCATTTCCATTATTACCTGTGATGGAAGAAAAGAGGAAATATCTTTTTGCCAATTCTCCCATCGAAAAGAAAGTATATGTCCCAACCTCCTGTGAAGCTGGGTGGCCTCTGTGAACCAATAAATATGATAAAAGTGATGTTTTGTTACTCCCCACGGCCAGGAATTGAGAGATTGGCAATTTCCATTTTCTTTCTTAAAACCTCTAGTCTTAAAGCCCAAGAAAGCTGGAAAGGCCCTGAAAATATATGGAGAAGGAGAAGAGCTCAACTGAGCTCATCCTTCCAGCCATTTCTTCCAAGAATCCGTGCATATGAGGGAAGCTGTCTTGAGCTCTTCCAACCACCCCATCCTACCAGCTGAATAACATTGAGTGACTCTAGATAATGCTGTATGGAACAGAAGAATCACCCAGCTGAGCTCTACTCAAATTCCCAATCTACACAATTGTGAGATATAATAAAATTTTGCCATTTTAAGCCATTACACTTTGAGGTGATATGTTAACACAGCAATAAATAACCAGAATGTCCCCTCACTCTAGACCTTATAACTTACTGTCTAGAAAACTGGTTTGTACATTCAGTCTCCCACCCTTCCAGCTACTCTCTACTCAGGTTAGTTTCATAAAGAAACCATGTGAAGCTCCTGCTTTTAAACAAACAAACATCATAACAGAATACACAACCTGTTTAGCTTGGTCTTCTTGGCCTTCCAAGATCTGTCTCTGAACCGAGGTTTCCAAGTTCTCCTCTCCTTCCCTCAAGTCTATGTTCTAGTGAAGTTCAGCTCTTGGCTCATCTCCTGGTCCCCCTATGATTTTGACTTTGTTCATGCTTTCTCTCCTCTTAGAAGGCCCCTCACCTCACATGGGTACATCCACATCCTTCTTGCTTTCCAAAGAGGTCCATGAATGTCAGTCCTTCCAGTGGAAATAATCTCTCTGCCCTGAATTTCCACAGCATTTTACCTGTGGGAACTAATCCTTTCCTATCTTTTTAATATTATGTACGTAATTTAGAAACATGCCTTTAATGTTCCTCATAGACCATGAAGTCCTTGAAGGCAGGATTCACATCTTATTTGCTTCTTTAAACTCACTATCAAAGAACTAGCAAAGAAGCTGGCTCTTGTAGATCTTTAATAAATATCTGTCGAAAATAGATGGAAAAATGAATGAATAGGGCCCTATCTCCTGTCTTTGTGATTATAGCTCAGCAGCAATCACACTGCTGTCATGTACCCTTAAACCACTGATTCAGGTTTCTCATTTGTATGTTGGTGGAAATAAAATAACAATAACAATATTGTTCTTGCCAGGGGTGGGGGACCTGTGGCCTCAAAATCACATGTGACCCTCCCTATTTCCCAGTGCAACTTCTTGACTGTATCCAAACTTCATAGAACATTTAATAAATGTTTTTTAACTTAATAAAAGGATTTGTTTGGTAAAATTTGGAGTTAGTCAAAAGGCTGCACTCAAGGATCTGGAAGGACATATGTGGCCCCAAGACTCCTCCCTTTCTTTCTTTTCTTTTCTTTTTTTTTTTTTTTGAGACAGAGTTTCACTTTGTCGCCCTCAGTAGAGTGCCATGGCGTCACAACTCACAGCAACCTCCAGCTCTTGGGCTTACACGATTCTCTTGCCTCAACCTCCAGAGTAACTGGGACTACAGCCGCCTGTCACAATGCCTGGTTATTTTTTTGCTGCAGTTTGGCTGGGGCTGGTTTGAACCCGCCACCCTCAGTATGGGGCCAGTGCCCTACTCACTGAGCCACAGGCACCGCCCAGACCACCTTTAGTTGTCTTCAGTCCAACCTAACAAAAGGCTGAAAGGCTGAGGTGCCTTTGAGCAGCAGCCCTGTGGTGTCTGGACTCCTGCTCAGGAGAGTGAAAGCTTGCTCACATTGGCTGAAGCAGAGAAGGGAATTCATCAGCCCAGGTGGATTCTGGAAAGTGCCTGGGAAGACACTGTTTGGGACTTGGCCAGATGCATTAGTTTGAACCGTATCCCTGGACCTCAGGTTTTCTTTCTGCATTTCTCAGCTCTGCTCCCTTCTGTCTTCCTCCAGAGGCAGCCTCTTCTAGGTGGTGGCACAGATGATCCCTAGTAGCCTCACACTTACATTCCATTAGCTTAGCAACCCCCCTCTATGGAAAAAAAGTACTTCTCTTTCCCAATATCTAAAGAAAAAAAAATCTAGGGATTACCACTCACTAGACAGACAGGAGGCCTTTTCCCTGAGCCAATCAGGGATGGACTCTCATGATGGCCCAACCCTGCACTGTCTGGAGATCCCAGGAGCTACAGCTGAGCTGGCAGTGTAAGGGTGGAGGGTGCTGTTAGGATGCTGCTGTCACCAGGGAATGAGAATGGAAGCTGCTCAGGGAAGGCAACAGGTCCCAACCCACCCATCCTGAGAGGAGACACCAAGCTCTACGTAAAAAGAGCATTTTCCTAAAGCCAGGCATTAAGTACTTGTTTTTTACTGGACTCTATTTTATGTGGCTAGCACCATAACTACTATGCTACGGGCACCGAGCCTTTTTATTTTATTTTATTTTTTGAGACTGAGTCTCACTATGTTACCCTCGGTAGAGTGCTGTGGCGTCACAGCTCACAGCAACCTCAAACTCTTGGGCTTAAGCGATTCTCTTGCCTCAGCCTCCTGCGTAGCTGGGACTATAGGTGCCCACCACAATGTCCAGCTATTTTTTTGTTGTAGCTGTCATTGTTGTTTAACTGGCCCAGGCTGGGTTTGAGCCCACCAACCCCGGTGTATGTGGCCGGTGCCCTAACCACTGACCTATGGGCACTGAGCCACTGGACCCTTTAAAGAGACCTGTCACAACCAGAGAACAACATTTCCGGGGGTCATAAAAGCTCCACTCCACAGACACCACCCCTCCCCTACCTCTGCCCTTATCTAAACTATCTTTAGTTTGTCTCTGGTTTGCTCTCTCTCACAATCATGCCTTGTTCTCATCTTTCCTGACTCACCATCCCTTTTGGCCTCCATAAGTGTGATATATAAGCGCTATTGACTGGTGCTTCCCCGCCCAACCCCGCATGCACCACCACCATGTCCTTGGGCTGCTAGTGGCTTCCAGGCAGAGAACCTATCTGAACACAAAGAGACCGAACCTTGATGTTACTCTTGAGCCTCCAAAGCCAGCCACACCTGAAGCCAGCTATCCATCTCTTCTGAGTTGAATTATATACCCCCAAAAGATATGGTGGAGTTCTAAACCCCAGTATCTGTGAAAGTGACTTTACTTGAACATAAGGTCTTTGCAGATGTAATCAAGTTACAATGGGGTCATGCTTGATGAGGAGAGGCCCTAATCCAATGTGACTGGTGTCCTTATAAGAAAAGGAGACGGCTCGGCGCCTGTGGCTCAAGTAGCTAAGGCACCAGCCACGTACACCCAAGGTGGCGGGTTCGAATCCAGCCTAGGCCTGCCAAACAACAATGACGGCTGCAACCAAAAAATTAGCCGGGTGTTGTGGCGGGTGCCTGTGGTCCCAGCTACTCGGGAGGCTGAGGCAGGAGACTTGCTTGAGTCCAGGAGTTGGAAGTTGCTGTGAGCTGTGAGGCCACGGCACTCTACCCAGGGGGACAGCTTGAGGCTCTGTCTTTAAAAAAAAAAAAAAGAAAAGGAGACGACACATAGAGACAAGCACATAGGAGAACACTGCGTGACCAAGGAGGCAGAGAATGGAGTCAGGTGTTCACAAGCCCATAAATGCCCAGGATGGCTGGCAACACTCAGAGCTAAGAGGAAAGCACGGAACAGAATCTCCCTGACAGCTGCCAGAAGGAATCAACCTTGCTGTCACCTTGATTTCAGACCTTTAACCTCCAGAGCTGTGAGAGAGTAATTTTCTATAGTTTTAAGCCACACAGGTTTGTGATCATTTGTTATAGCAGCTCTAGCAAATGAATACACTTTCTCACATATTCCCCCTGCCCCCCAGCCCCTGTTTTGTGAGCCAATGAATGTTCTGGTTGCTTAAGCAAAATTATGTTTCTCTTACTTACAGCTAAAGCTCTGAATAATATAGCATGTTACCTCCACTGGGCTAGGCAATGAGCATGCAAAAGACGAATTAGACCCTGTCCCTCCCTTTGAGTCACCCATCCTGTGGCACAAAGCCCAGCACCATCCAATGTTACTGGGGCCAAGACCAGTGAAAAGGACAAAAAGAAACTCAAAGTTATACAGGGATGGCCATGTCTTATCTCCAAATAACGAAAGCATTTATCTCAAGCACAGCTGAGATGACAGTTGAAAATATTACTGGCTTCCCATCTCACAGAAGATAAAGGCCAAACTCCTCACCCTGGCACTGAAGGCTCCAGCCTTTATTTACATCATCATCTTCCACTATATTTGGCTCATTTCTTTCTATCTGCTTTGCTCCAGTCACCTCAGGTTACTAAGTATTTCCCAAAGATACCATATACTTTCAAAAATTGTTACATTTGCTCATAGTAGTTGTCTACGTGGACGCTTTTCCTCCATCTCAAAGTCTTAGCCATCTGTGTCAGTTTCCTGGGGCTGCGTGACACATGACCCACAAACTGGATGGCTTACACCAATAGAAACTGACTCTCTCACAGGCTATAGGCTAGAAGTCTGAAATCAGGGCATCAGCAAGGTCAGGCTCTCTCTGAAAGTTCCAGGGAAGGAGCCCTCCTTGTCTCTTCCCAGCTTCTAATGGCTGCCAACAATCTCTGGCATTCCTTGGCTTGTATCTCTCCAATCTCTGTCTTTGCTGTCACATAACCTCCTCCCTGAATTTTTGTTTGTATCTGTGTCCAAACTTCCTATTTCTCTTTTTTTCCCTTCATTCTCTGTAGAGACTCAAAAATTGCCAATGCTGACTGTGTTTCAAGTTGTCATGGCAGGATATTGAGAAAAAATTTCAATTAGCAATAATTATGCCTTGGATAAAACTCACTGGCCATGATACTGCCACTGCGCAAAGCTCCTTTTCGCTCTTATTATAAGGACACCAGTCACTGATTTAGAGCCCGGTTTAATCCAGTGTGTTCCCCGTCTTAACTTGATTACATTTGCAAAGACCCCTTTTCCAAATAAGGTCACATTCACAAAAACCAGAGGTTAGGACTTAAACTAATTTTTTTAGGGGGAACACAAGTCAGTCCTCAACATCAACCTTCAAATGCCACCTCCTCCAGGGGCCCTTCATCACCTAATTATAGCACGAACGTCTAGCACTCCCAAGCTCTGCTGCAGCCTTATTACCTCTATAGTAAAGATACTTGTGAACTGACTCATTTAGAGCTTGTGACTGACAGGACGAGGAGGCAAACCTGTCTGTAGGGTCTAAAGTCCTTGGTCAGTGGCTATTTGACTCAGCAGAGGATAATCTATAAATGTTTGTCAGTTTGAATTGAACTATTAAGGAGAAGAGATAAGGTGAGGGAGAGAGTAGCTGCATGGTGCCTTCTGAAATGGTTTACAAGCCATTATAAGAAAGAGATAAAATTAAAGGCACCATACTAAGTGAAATGCACTCGTCAGCTTTAGTTCCCCACTTGCAATAGTCCAGTGCAGTGGTTCTCAACCTTCCTAATGCTGTGGCCCTTTAATACAGTTCCTGTGGGTCACAACCCACAGGTTGAGAACTGCTGGTCTAGTGAGTTTTGGTCTCTTGCATCTTCTGGATGAGAGGGCTTTGAAATGCTGTGAGGGGCTGAGAAGAGTCTTTGAGACCCAAGAAGGGTCCTGTCCAGTGGCCATTCTGGCCTTGAGGCTCAAGGATGGTGAAAAATCCTCCCCTGCCTCTGATCCAGTGACAGTCTCCATTCCTAGGCTTGGACTGATGTTGGAAATTCAAACCAAATACATACCAGGAAGATCTTCTGTGTCAGACCCCCCTGAGTGGGCAGTCTGGGTCCCCATTAAGCTTCATGGAAAAGTTCTTGGCCAGGGAACACTGTAGCTGGCCCAGAGCCTGGGCTCACTCCTTCCATGGTCTAAGTGTTTAACAGAAGTAGAGCTGTTGCTGTCTGCCTTGAGACAAGCATGTTAAGAATAACTTTGCAGAGGCTGAGCTTTGCAGGCCTTGTCATCCTGAAATAGCTGAGACATGATCACCCATTACGTTGATGCCTGTCTTTCAGGGAGATACTTGCAGAGATTGGCCCAGGAAAACAGCATTATTGATTCCCGTTCATAAGAATGTTTCAGTGAGACCCCCAAATTAGACTTTGAGGTCCAGGTTCCAATAAGGTTAGGGCTCTTCACTGGTGTTTTGGTGATTCTTGCCAAGTCAGGCAGTTCCCAACATAGGGACTATTTCTAAATTAGGGTCTGGAGAACAACTGACCTACCTATGAAAACTACCAAATAAAAATGAATGGAAAAAGAAATATTAATAATAACCCTTGTGGTCATATCAGATGCTATTTTAGGCATTTCACATATAGGTAGGCACCGCAGTAGATTGTATTATTGTTCCAAATATTCTCTGCACCTCTTTGTGGGAGAATTTTACCTTCCTACCACATTTATATCAAGCTTAGTCCTGGAAATTTGGCCAAGAAAATGTAGACAAAAGAAGCATGTTATTTCTTGAAGGCAAGGCTTAAGGAAGGCTTAAGAGCCATTGCAGGGAGCCACCATCCGCCACTCTTCTCCTGGTATCCTAACATCAGCCATGTTCCAGAAGGGCTGCTCCTCCAGCTGGTCCCAGAGGAGGAGCCAAAGCCAGCCTACCACGGACATGAGAGATAAGCAAGAAATAAATCTTTGCTGTTATAAACGACTGAGGTTTTGGAGTTATTTTTGCAGAGCAACTTAGCCTAAGCTATCATCATTACCCCCGTTTCATAAGTGAGTTAACCAAGGCAGAGATCACATACCTTGGTCAAGGTCATACGACCCAAAAGTGGAAGAACTAGGATCCAAATCCAGGCAGTCTGGCTTCAGAGTCCATGATCTTAACCACTTGACTACATTGCTCAGAAAGTATCTTTGTCATTTTCCTTCAAAACTCCTTTAGCCAGCAGTATCACCATGCATGCTGTTTTTCTTCATTTCCCATAGAAGTAATTAAGAATTATTGGCACATCATTTGCTTCTCCGTGGGTAGAGTAGACCAGGTGGATGGTCTCTATAATAAAATACAACTAGTTATTGCACGAGCCTGATTCATTGGTATGCAAAGCTGGAAACAACTTTATTTTTTCCACACCACAGCCTTGCAGGAATTAACAAACTATTCATCATTGTATTTAAAAACACAGATCCAATCTAATACGAAAACCTCAGTCTCTGGACCATTTGATAGCTGCTCCCTGACCCCAGGCTTCGAAATTTGTAATGGGAAAGAAAGTCATGGTTGGCTTCCTCCTTATTTCTCTAGAGCACTCTTTTTTTTTTTTTTTTTTGAGACAGAGCCTCAAGCTGTCCCCCTGGGTAGAGTGCCATGGCATTACAGCTCACAGCAACCTCCAACTCCTGGGCTCAAGCGAGTCTCCTGCCTCCGCCTCCCAAGTAGCTGGGACCACAGGCGCCCGCCACAACGCCCGGCTATTTTTTGGTTGCAGCCATCATTGTTGTTTGGCAGGTCCGGGCTGGGGATTCGAACCCGCCACCTTAGGTGTACGTGGCTGGCGCCTTAGCCGGTTGAGCTATAGGCGCCGAGCCAAGCACTCTTTTTAAAAAACACTTTTTTGGCATAATTCAGTGGTTTTATTTTTTATTATTTTTCTGGATTGTTTTGGACTATATGAGGGTACGTACGATTAGGTGCCATTATTTGAGTTTGTCAGGTAAACGAGTTGTAACTGAGTCCTTCACTCAGGAGGTGTACCATATACTCATGCATTGTACCCATGAGGTGGGAGCTTACAGAACCCTCTTCCTCTCCGCTTCTGGAATTTAATTGAGTTTTTCTCTCATGAGGGCCTGTGGTTGTTAATCTACTAGTTTCAACCTAGTATTGAGTACATACGATGCTTGATTTTCTATTCTCTCTTCTTTCTTTTTTTTTTTTTTTTTTGAGACAGCCTCACTCTGTTGCCCCAGGCTAGAGTCCCACAGTGTCAGTTTAGCTCACAGCAACCTCAAACTCCTGGGCTCAAGTGATCCTACATTCCTCAGCCTCCCAAGTAGCTACAGGTACCCGACACAAAGCCCAGATAAATTTTTCTATTTTTAGTAGAGAGGAGGGGGTCTCGCTCTTGCTCAGGCTGGTCTTGAACTCCTGAGCTCAAGTGATCCTCCCACCTCAGCCTCCCAAGAGTACTAAGATTATAAGTGTGAGCCACCTCTCCCCACCTGATTTTTCATTCTTGAGATACTTTACTTAGGGGAATGTTCTCCAAATAATTCCAGGTAAATACAAAATATGCTCATTATCCCTGATCACGAGATAAAAGCCAACCAAACCACGTTGAGACTTCATCTCACCCCAGTAGGGACCGCGCTCTAGGGTCCTCTTCCACCTCTGCCACTCACCCGACTGTCCCAGGCACTTGTAAAATGGGAGGGACACGGAGAGGTAGGAAAATTCTTCCTTGGCTTTAATGCCCTCTGGGTATAGCAGGTGGTCAAATGCTGGTTTTTTGTGACAAGGAGCCCTCCTTGTGTTGGAGTCCCCAGAAAGTCTCCTACTGGAGCACCCCAGGGCACCCCTTTCTGGCTCAGACAAAGCACTCTCTTGGCTAACAACTTCTGACCTGCCCTCCTCCCCTCCACCTTCTGGATTCAGCCTCTTTCTCCTGGCAGAAAGCACTTTCACATGTAGTCCTTTTTTAGTTAAGCAGCTCTATTGAGATATATAAATAAACTGCACCTACCCCAAGTGCACTATTTGATAAGTTTTGACTTTTGGAGAGGTTTATGCACCAGGATCAAGATAATGAATCTTGCATCACCCTCCAAAGTTTCCTTATGGCCCTTAGTAATTCCCATCTCCTGTCAGTCCCCTGTTCTCAGGCATCTCTGCTTTCTGGCCCATGAATTGGTCTGGTTTTATATAAACAGCATCTTGGAGTATGTACTCTTTTTTTTTTTTTTTTTTGGTCTGGCTTCTCTCATTCAGCATAATTTTTTTTAGATTCATCATGGGGTCCTTTTGCAAGATAACATAACCTCGGCCACCTTCCATGGGTGCACAAAGCCCATGGGAAAGTCTGCTCACCCGTGACCTGCCACACAACGAATGCAAGTGCAGCCCGTTCCCTGGCAGCTGCCCTGGGCTGTTCCACCGTCATTTCCCAGGCATGGCAGGCTCCAGGGCACACAGGCCTGGTTCTCCAAGCACCTGAAGATCTGCTCTGCTGGCCTGAGGACAGGAAAGGCGCAGCACCTGCCCTGGCATCCTATCCTTCTCTTCTCTAGTGTCCAGTGGCTAGAGCTCTGAGAGGCTTCAGACAGGCTTTGCGGATCACTCCCAAACGTTCTGCACAGGTTGGGAGCCATCTGTTTTTGAGATGTTACCTTGGATAGACTGCTGTGGTATCATAGCTCATAGCAACCTCTAACCTTGGATAGACTGTTACCTTGGATAGACTGTTGTGGTATCATAAGTAGACACTCTGTTACCTTGGATAGACTGCTGTGGTATCATAGCTCATAGCAACCTCTAACTCTTGGGCTCAAGTGATCCCCTTGCCTCAGCCTCCCACATAGCTGGGATTAAAGGTGACTGCCATGATGCCAAGCTAGTTTTTCTATTTTTAGTAGAAACAGGGTCTCAGTCTTGCTCTGGCTGGTCTTGAATGCCTGAGCTCAGGTGATCCACCCACCTCAGCCTCTGAGAGTGCTAGGATTACAGGTGTGAGCCACCGTGCCCAGCCTAGAGCTGTTATTTAGATTATGAGGGCACCTAATATCCCATATTCTCAGCTGAAATGGAGACAACAGGAACATTTGCATGTTATAGTCCTCTGTCTGATAACTCAGAGGTTAGAAATGTTACTAACTCTGATGCTTCGAGTTGCACGAGTAACCTC